GTATTTTTGATTAACATGTGAATTTAATGTAAAGAAGTAATAAAAGAAGTAACCTTCTTTTTTTTAAAAATGTTTTATTATAGTATATAGTTTCGAATTGAAAGTATTGATATATAGGTCTTACTCTAATTAACTTTATATGGTAACGGTTCCTTGTTGATTAAATGGAAAAAGTTTTAAAATACTCTAGAGCTATTGAAAATAACTTGCATTTATCCTTCATTTGTTTTGAGTGTCAAAAATGCCTTTTCGGTTTATTTTCTAAACCACAAATGCCATTAAATTCTTGAATGTCCATGAGTCATTTAGATCGTTGACATAATAGTCCAACATGGAAATAAAGGATCAAAATTGCCTAAGCTTGTGAAAAACACCATGCCTAAGCTTCATGTTATTATGATTATGAAAATTTGAAAATTGTAAAGAAAAAAGGGGAACTCGGTGTATGTAGTAACCCAGAGGAAGGGTCATAGACCGCCAAGGAATGTAATCTAGACAACTTACCTTCGAATCCGTGACCTATAGGTCACAGAAAGAAAGAACATTACATACTCATACTATCACATCGGCAAGGACTCTCCAGCTTTCCGTGGCTTCACATAGAATTTCATCGTTGCGCTAAGACTCTCTTCATACTAAATAAAGCATACAAACAAACAAAAAACATACATTTATGAATCCATGAACTAAGTTTAGCTAGTAAACAACAATCAAAAAATGAAAATTTTCCATTTCAGTTAGCACATCACATGTCACAAATTCAAACACCAAAAAATAACTCAGCTCTATAATGCATAAATATGTTCTGTTAATAATCACAAAAAGGCTACTATATATTTTCATGAGACAAAGAAATCTACATAGATCTCAGGACAAGCAAAAAAATATGGTTGCCATTCAATTTGTGGTCATAGAAACAACTCATTTCGCGCTTCATTAATGTGAATCGACATTAACAAATCTTCAAAACCATCACCTCCAGTAACCAGGTTGTTGTGGTGGTGGATAAGGTCCGGGACCAGGAGGAGGATAAGCTGAGGCCGAGGGTGGTGGATAAGCTCCGGGACCAGGAGGAGGATAAGCTGAGGCTGAGGGCGGTGGGAAGCCAGGAGCTGGAGCTGGAGCTGGTGCTAGTGGTGGTGCTGATGCTGGATAACCTTGATGAGGAGGTTGTGGTTGACCGTAAGGTGCCCCATAAGCCGGAGGATATCCAACTGTTGGCCCATAAGGCTGATCAATCCGCGACATCTGCTGAACGGGTGGTATTGACATTGGTGAAGGATCACCAAACTTGCCATCTCTTTTGTCCAATTCAACTTTGTGTTGTGTCTGCAATCTCAACAATAGTAATATCAAAACGATAAACGAGCAAATCAGGATAAGCATATGAGTCCTTGTTGACCATGTTGCTACATTTAAGCTCACGTCAGAGCAACTTAAATGATGAAAACTATAACTAGAAAGAAAAAAATTGGGACACAATCAACCATTTCCTGCTTACCTGCATACAGGCACAGACCCTGCAATCAAATATGCAGCAAATTTAGTACAGCAACATTGAATTGTTTTGTCGGAATAATAAATAATGCTAACGAAGAATGTATATATAGAAGCTTACGAATAGTAGACCATGTCAGAGAGACATGTCAAAATATGAGCAGCATCCTCAAGTCCTTCATCTCCAGTAAGACAAGCCGCGATTCTACATAGGCAAGCAAGTTGTCCGAGTACTATCATGAAACCCTAGTAGGAAGCAAAGAAAACATGTTTGATGATCAAATTGCATATACATGAACTACGCGAGCTAACAAATGAGGAAGACTTGCAGAGAGGGAGAGCTTACGATAATGCAATTATCACATTTTGTTGTTCTGATGTTGAATTCATCTTGCAACAGGAAGCGAGTTGAGCTCACTGAATTTCCAAAGCAACAACAAACCTACTCGCGAAAGTCAAGATCAGAATTACAGCAGAACGTACATTGCTATGCATATTGTTATACAAATATGCAACATCTTATTCCCAATTTAAATAAATGTACCAAAAAATTTGCTGACCTCAGTTACAAGGCAAAATTCAGGGCAACGACTTTCTCCACATTTACCACTGCAAGGCATATAACCAGCGCAGCACTTATACCTGTCGCAAACAGACGTTAGTTCATAAGAAAGGCATTAACTAACGCGATAGTGAAGAAAAAAGAAAGCATCTTACCTTGTCATATCGCCATATAAAGCTCGTTTCCTTAGCACATACGATGAACATGGTCCACTGCAGTCGATGAGATCAGAGAAGACGTTATATATATATAACTACTAGATCAGTAGAATAGAAGGGCAACACTACAAGGGAAATTCTTTAGATTTGATCACAAATCCTCATGAATCGATGTTTCTGTCAATTCTCTTCTCTTGATGAAAAATGCTACATCATATTAGCTATCAGCTAATCATGTCGCGTCCTATTAGTTCACTAGTGATATCTATTAGAGGACAAATATGAGTAAAGGCGTAATCAAGATGCAGGACACAATAAGCAGTGAAAGAGTAATAGTTCTTCAATATCTACTACGATACTAAGTTTCAGCAGAGGATTCTGTTCTCCAATATTTGCTGTGATACGAACTATCCAGTGAAATCCCACGAGTGGGGTCTAGGAGGATAGAATCTACGCAAATCATACCACAAACGTATACACATTTATGTATCAATTGAGTTATGAAATCTTTTCAGCAAGACGATGAACTCCTTTAACACAAACATATACACATATAGTAATCAAACTCATGAAACAAACACACATAAAGAGCAAATCAACAGCATTGTAGAAATATAAACAAAACGTAAAATACAACTCACCACCACAGCGCAAAACACCAAACTGCAAAACCAAAACATGAAAAACAATTAGAAAGACAAACACATAACACTTTACATTCTTATTCCAAAAAGAATCACGAGTTGCTCAGACTCTTCAAAAATGTCAGACTAGCAGTGGTGTAGCTACATTGACCCCAAGGATGGTCACTCGAACACCCTTCATCAAAAAATTATATTATGCATACAGAAAATAACACCATGTATACAAATCAAAAACAACTTTTTAGAAATTATTAAACATCCCTATCAAAATTCCTAGTTTCACCACTGCAGTGAGATGGGTGCAACAATATTTTTGAAGAGTCGGAGCAACATTCAGTATTAGGACCAAATCATCCAAAATTTTTTCATCTTCGAGATTGAGAAATTGTACATGGTGGATCGGCTTTAAGGGTGCCCATGAGATCTGTGCGCCATAGATTTTGAAAAAATTTACGATTTTCCGCCTTATCAAGGTGTGCTTGTGCTGATGCCATTTTTTCATCAATAAAATCTTAGATACAATGAATGAATATGAAATCCTCTTTAAGATTTCGATCTTCGTCGTCCACAAAGACGAAGACGAAACGTTTAGTGCCAGAGCCAAATATCAATTCAATTATCGAATTTGGTGTTTTATATACCATGAAAGAGGAGTAGAAAATTCACAAACCAATCGAAAATTCACAAACCAATCGAATTTGAAAGACTCATCTCCTCATTCACTGTATGTTTTCTCCTCCATTTTTTCCGGTGAGAAATTGAATGTTGTACGCAAAAAAAATTCAATGGACTGAAATTTGTTTGGTTAAACAGAAATTCAACCCATAGTCAGATTTTGTCACTCCCCTCACCTAAAAATAAATAAATTTGAACACATTATATATTTAAGTGCTTAATTAAAATATATTATAGTTCATATATCTAGATGAAATTTAGTGAAAATTTCAATATATTCTACCAAAAATATATAAAAACAATATCAAGGCAACCATAGTACTTGATAGTCTCCTTACAAAAGAAACGGAAAACACATGTTAAAAATATTTGGACAACTCTTTAAATAAAAAAAGACAATTTATTCGTGCATAAAATATTTCATATTAGTAGTTCGAGAAAATGTCACACTTCAAGAAAATATTATATAGACAATCTATTTTAGATGAGTATTAATGATTGTTTTCATGATTTAAGAAAGAATCGCACTTCAAGAAGTAAGATATAGACCGACTATCATATAAGACATTAATGATTGTTTTCATGACTTGAGAAAGGGTTGTACTTCAAGAAGAATGATATAAACAGTCTATCGCACTTCAAGAAACATGATATAGACGGTCTATCCTATATCAACATAAATGATTGTTTCCACGACTGGAGAAGGGATTGTACTTCAAAAAGCATGATATAGACCGTCTATTTTATTCTAGCATTAATGATTATTTTCATGAATTGAGAAAGAATCACACTTCAAAAAGCATAACAGTCCATCACATACAAACATTAATACTCCTTTCGTTTCACAAAAAGTGACCTGGTTTGACTTGACACGAAGTTTTAGAAAATAAAGAAAACTTTTGAATCTTGTGGTCATAAATTAAAGTTATGTTAAATGTATTAAATTGCCCTTCAATCTTGGCTCTAAACATGCTACATGGAAAGCTGAAATAAAAATGTTACCAGAAAAGAAATGAGGTCATTCTTTTTTAAACAGACTAAAAAGGAAAGGAGGTCATTCTTTTTTAAACGGAGGGAGTAACTATTTTCATGAGGACTCGAACTTATGACCTATAAATCACATAGCAACGACAACTTTCATTTTGAATACTCCCTCTGTCCCAATTTATGTGACTTACTTTCCTTTTTAGTCAGTCCCAAAAAAAATGACACATTTCTATATTAAGTAACAATTTAACTATAAAATGTCAATTTTACCCTTAATGAAATGATTTACAGCCACATCAATTTTTATCATTCATTTTGAACTACAAGTTTTAAAAGTTTTCATTTCTTTCTTAAATTTCGTGCCGAGCCAAATTATTTCACATAAAATGAGACGGAGGGAGTAACATAATGATGAAAAGGACTTGATTGTTAAGTCTCCTCCTTTATATAATGGAAGTGGACTAGTCTTCTCTCCTTGTCTGTTTTTGTTTTTGCTTCCACAAGAAAGAACACTCCAAATTTAAATTGTCTTCTTTCTCCACACTTGCAGCCCAGACAAAAGCAATAGTAAACACAAACTTTTTCCACCTATATTTCATCACTCAATCAGTACCAAAAAAAAATCAGACCAAAATGAGTTTCTTGTCTTCTTCCTCTCAAAATTCTGATTAAACAAGACATTTTTGTCCTGTTTTTTTTTCAATAAACAAGAAGAAAAAAAAATCTTGAAATTCACTTCAATTTCCTCAATGTCTTCAGAACTTATTGTATTTGACAACTTTTTTACTGACCCTTTTTCTCCATCTTTCATAGATAACTCAATTTTCCAAGAAAACAACAATTTCACCATGCCTACCAACTGTTTGATACAACAACTCCCTGAAACCAAAATTGATGAAACAACTTCATTTGACCAAATCACTTCCACCCTTCTTTCATCTTCACCTCCAAGTCATCAATTTGAGAATCTTTCACTTTGTCCAATTGGAAATCCAAATTTTGAATTTGGTGATTTCTCTGTAAAAGCAGAGGAATTTCAGGTCCATTTTGAATCTGATCATTTTGGTGCTTTTCAAAATGATGTGAAATTGATGCAGAGGAGTTTTAGTAGTAATTGTTTTGATAATAATAATAATAATAATAGTGAGAAACAAAGTTTCTCTATTTTTACACCAAACTTTGATAGTTTAATTGAATCTACAAATTTTCAAACATCAGCTGCAATTAGCTCACCTGAAAACAGCTTTTCTTCTGGCCAAATGAGAAGAGTTTGCAGCACTGGTGATTTGCAAGTTAGTCCTCCTATCTCAATTCCCATTTTTTCTAAATTTTTTTTTTAGTACGTTTGAAAAAAAATGACATTTCCGCATTCTGTAAAGGGGGTTTTACACAAATCGTCAGACAAATTATACATAAATTCTCGCTTGTATATCTAGATTATACATGATCATATACATATTATAGCTCCGCCTCTATTTTCAAACGAAGAATCAACCTAAATAGTTGTTCGCCCACTAGAAGTTTGATAGAATTTGATATTTTTACGAGTTAGATAGAATTTAGTAGTTTTGATCCAAACATTATATTTGTATTTAAAAGATTCATTTACTGTGTATAAAATAATTTATCTAGAACCTAGTGAACTTATCAATTTCGAAGTCTATAATGTCTAATTTTCAATGCATCAAACCGCCGTTCATACAACTTCATAATAGAGAGATATTCACATTTTTTAAAGTCATTTCAAGACTCCAAAACCCATTAAATACCCCTTTTCAAGAATCGAGAATTCATGCACTCAAAAAATTATAAATTTCGCTTGTATGAAAACTCTTAACTTATATATACTTACATCTTGACATGTTTAAAATCATAAGGACAAATTCTAACTTCTTAAAAGTTATCTTTTTTTTTTTCTTAACCGAGATGCATAATCAAATATCGTTACATAAAATAAAAATGAATACATATTGAATTTTTTTTTAATTATTTACCCTTATTTTTAACAGAAGATGAAGACAAGTCAAACAAGGAACACTTTATCGACAAGTCCATTATCAGGAGAAAGAACATTTATTGAAGAAGCATCAAATATCAAAGTGGGAAGATATACTGCAGAAGAAAGAAAAGAAAGAATTCATAGATACAGAGCAAAAAGAACTCAAAGAAATTTTAACAAAACTATTAAGGTAATTAATTATATAATTAATTAACACAATTTTTTAAATTTTTTATTATTATTTGTATTAATTTTTTTTAATCATGGTACAACAACAGTATGCATGTCGAAAAACACTAGCGGACAATCGTCCAAGGGTTCGTGGCAGATTTGCTCGTAACGATGAAGTTGGTCTTGAGATTCCGAAAACTTCATCATCAACATTGTTTAATCGATACGAAGATGAAGATGATATTTGGGTAAATATAATTATTCTCTCTTGAACCTTTTTTTCTTAAATTAGAAGGAAAAGAAAAGAACCCCACTTTCAAAATCTTTTATTTTGTATCAACAAAATAGTTATATTCTTGCTACAAAATATTAGTGGTGGATTCAATAATGAGCTCGTAAGTTCAGCAGAACTCAATACTTCTGAGTGAAATCCTATAAAAAGAAGTATATATATATATATATATATATAGTTGAATATACATTTCAAAACTCTGTATCATAATGTCGTGTAAAACCTATTAAACAAGAAAGTGCAATACTTCATACTAGGGCAATTTCCCTTCTTAGGGCTCGAATACGAGTTGGACGTCTGATTAGGGGTGGAGGGATCTTATTGATGCCCACTATAACCCTTAATTAGTGATATGCATATTTTAAGTTCTTGATTAATGAGAAAAAAAATTAGTATTATTTAGTATTGTATTTTTTAAAAAAAAATTAATGTATTAATTTTGTGGTTGTAGATTGAGGGAGTTCATGAAGAGGAAGAAGATCATCAAGGCTCAATAGGGAGAAGACAATTGTATCACAACTTTAGTTCAATGACACAATATCATCAACAATATTCAAGCCACTAAATTGGGTCATAATTAGAGATTATTTTTTATAATTAAGTCATTAAAGTTTGGATTAATTAACCATAATTAATAGAAGATATTAGCTATGGTTTAATTTATGAATAAATTAATTAGGTGCACTTGCATGTGCAACAATTTAAATGTCTATGAAGGGAATAGACTAGCTATAGTATATCGAGCACAAAGTGTTTTTCTGTCTTTTTTATTTTTTTTATTTAGGAGTTTATTAGTTATTATTAAGAGGTCATGTACAACTTATTGTCTTCTATTTTATTAAAAAATTATATAAGATTTCTATTAATTGAATCTGTAATTATATGGTTGTTTTTATTTATGTCTAATAATAGTATTGAGTATGAGTTACACATATGTTTGGAAATAATCATTAAAATATGAAGAATATACGTAGGCTAAACCATGCAAAATGCATGAGATGCCTATTGCAGTTAAGATTTTTATTATAATTCAAAATATAAAAAAGTAATTAAATTAACTTATATACATAATATCTACTTACCTATCTCAGTGACGGAACTAGAAATTTTACGAAGGGTGTCCAAGTATTACATAAGTAATTTTTTTATGAATGGATGCACTAAAAAATTTAAAATTAAACTACGTAATGTTAATATTACTTTTTTTTAGGAATAAATGTTCCAAAATTTTAAAAATCAAACTGCAGCCTCACACCACTGGCCGCAGAATCTCATTGTGTCAAGGGTGTCCAAAGTATTAGATTTAACCATTTCAAGTAGTATTTTACTTATATATACGGTATAATTTTCCGACGAAGGGAGTCCAAGGACACCCCTGGGACATTGTAGCTCCGCCACATGACCTATCTACACATTAATTATATTTTTTTAATGAAGGAATATCAACTTACGTTTTGACACGTACACATTGGACAAGTGTAGCTCCGCCATAGCGCCAATGATGGACCTTGGAAGTATTTTTTTTTTTTTTGAGTTTAGCTTCTATACATTAATAAATACAAAGAAGATAAAGAAATTTAACATATTATTAGTATATATACATAAAAAGATATTTATGTACAATGTAATTTTTTAGTAAAAAAAATAATATTTTCACAGGCACTCCGCCATTTCCGACTGTGAAAATAAATAAAACTTAGATAAAAAAACAAGGCAGACAAATTAAATTATATTAAAAGTATAAAATTTATTTATATTTTCATTTATATAAATCAATTAAATTACTTAATAATATATAGTTGATACTGTTATATGCAACGATGAATGAAACTATATATGCATGATAAACTATATATCTATAGAGATAAATGATGGGACGAAAATTAAGATCCTTTCATGTTTAATAGAAGGTTTTGGATTCAAATTTTAAGAAGGGAGAAATTATTGAAAACATTGCCTCCAAAATAAATTTTAAGACGGATGCTATAAATATAATCAGACTTTAATACGAATATTTAAATAAAACTAAAAAAACACACTGAAAATTCAAGTGGGGAGCACATGAAGAATAGAAAGATAGTGGAGACAAGAAGAATAAACAAATAATATGCAGTAAAGGAAGACAAAGTGGACATATATGTACATATTAAAATAATTATATATCATAGAGAATAATTGTGTTATTGTATTATAATTCCAAATTTATATTGTGGTTTAGTCAACTGCAAGCCATCACTAACTACTACATAGCATATATCTTTAGCCTAAACTCTAAACTATATCTATAGAAATTAAGCCCCCACCCTCCAAAAAGATAAAAATATTTTATAATATATAGGAGGGAGAATTTAACTTATATACACGTAATTATTCTTTTATACATACATTCTCAATATACTTTAACATGTTATATAGCACATATCTTGCCTTATTTTCTCGGGTACTATTTTTATGAAAAATCACCTATAATTATTTTTTAAGTTATTTGATAGTATTATTTACGCTATCAACCTACAGAAGTTAAAAGTCACGTAGAAATACTAGGCTTCAATTTGATTTTGATTTTGGAGAGGTTCGATCCGAAGTGTATATCATCTCGTAGTTTCGAATTTGAATTTTGAAAATTGGAAAGTTTTATCCCCAAAATGGGGTATATGACCGATTAATTAATAAAAATAAGAAAATGAATACCGAATACAAAATATATATATAAAAAAAAAACTAATATACTTTTGAAATTTCATCATGGTGACATATGGGATAGTTTGTAGTTTATGTATTTTTGGAAAATATAAAAATCCCACTCTTTATTGTTAATTAGTGTCATTCGTGCATATATGCTATGATTGTATCGTCTATCATTGAAAATCAGATCTTATTATAAAATTGGTTTAATGAACAAGAGAAAGATACTCGTAAGTCGTAACGTTGGTCGAATTGATTGAGCAGGTGATCAATTGGGTCTCAAGTTTGCCGTCTTTGTATGCCTTTTTGTTAAAGAATGACAAAAGTCCCACATCGGTGGTTAATGAGATGGGTGGACTCCTTATAAGGCTTGGGCAATCCTCCTCCCTTTGAGCTAGCTTTTTGTTAAAGAATAACAACTGCGAATTTTCCTCTCGTTAGAAGAAGATGATGATGATGAAATTTTGACAAGTATTGAAGAATCGTTCTTCAAGAATAAGCAAAAGCCAGTCCAAAAACAACTTTTTTGTATTTTAAATTAAACAATATTTTTAATTCATTGTCTTCTCATTCCTCCCATAAATTAAAGCATTAAATTTTAAATATATTTTTTTCAGGTATCTTACAATATTATTTTTGGTCCAATCGAACTCCTAATCTATAGCAATTGCAATGATAGGGTATATTGAAGTTGAAACTTAATTAGTACTATATCTTTAATTTAATAAAATTGGAATTATTCTTTCTTGAGAAATTAAATTAAGAGTGTGTTGGTCAAAAGTGATCATATTCCTATTGGAATCTTTGTATTGTTGGGATTGTTTGTTGATCAATTTAAATATTAATTCTTTTTGCATTTTGCTCATTCCATTAACTTAGTAGTTGGTTTTCTCTTTTCACTATTTTTGTCTCAACAATTTATTAAAGTTACTCAAAATATTACCATAAGAAGAATATTGTTAGCAATTTAGAAATGGGAAGTGTCAAATGTAACCAAGATAAAGTTGACTAAAAATGCATTCTTTTTATATGGTGCAAAAATGCTGCAAATTATATTCATTAAGTTTCGAGTTCGAATCTTAATTAAAAATATAAAAAAATAATATAGGAAATGATTTTCCTCTTAATTAATAGGCCTCACGCAACGTGAAATCAGATTAATTAGGGGTGTGTTAAAATGAGTATCGAATATCAAGTGAAAAACTCGAAAAACAATGTCTCTTTTGCACTAAATTCATTACTATATAATATTTCACTTGACAGATTTGTTCAATTACATAATTCTCGAGTTAAAAACAATTTTACTTTCAACATAAAAATTCAAAACTCATATTATCATGTCTTTTGTAAATTCAATATTTTTTATAAGTTCTATGTATCAATATACAATGCTTTATTTAGAAGAAAAGAATAAAAAATATATCAATCATTAAAAGGAAGAATCGCCATAAAAAGATTCTTGGTGTATCATAAGGTCAAATATGCAAATGATTTAAAGACCAATTAATTGGATAGAGCACCAATGTAATTGCTTTGAAACATTTTAAATGATTTTATTGTGCAAACTTCAATTTGATCTTAAATTAAAGTTCATTTGTTGAGAAAAAAAATCTTACAAAGCATAATGAATTTGTTAGAAAATAAAAGAAATAGTATCACATAGAATAAACTATTAATAATTAAATACATAAATAAAGATCAATAATGACAAACACAGAGCTGTGAAAAAATAAATAAGATTCGGTCTTTGCATTAATCCCTTTTTTTTGTTATTCTTTTGTAGATTCTTATTGCTTCTTTTGGGGGTTCATAACAATTTTATCTTAATTTCATCTTTCATAGGTGTCAAAAGAAGCAAAAGAGACGATTCGAAGCACAAAGCATTCCACGTTCACGTAGGATTAGAAAAAGGGTCAGACCTCAGAGGTGTGTAATGTGGACAGTCGATCGTAATGCAAATATTAGTGGCTCTTTCCGTAGCTCGTTGAACTTGTGACTTGTATATCACGAGGACAATTTTATCGCTACTTAGAAGAAGCAATGACAAGTACTATATTCTTTTATTATCATATGTACAAATAATTGAGTCACAACTTTTCTTAACCTAATAAGAAATTAATTGAAGATGGTATCGAAGTGTTAGCTAGTCAAAGAAAAGGGGTTTTTTGGGCATATTTTCTAAATAAAACTTTCATAAACTTTTTAGTAAAGGAGATAGCTTGTCATTTCATTAATAATAGTGGTGACAACTAGTATTAATCAAATAAAGTTGCTTATAATAAAAAGATGCTAATCAAGCTTTGGAAAGTCTGTTTTTTTCATTTGTGCCTACTACCTAGAAAGCATGCTTTGGCTTATGAAATATCTATACAAATGAATAAATGCTTGGTAACTAGCGAGATGGACGAGATTTTTTCTATTAATCAGCGTTGTTGATTTTATAAAATTGAACGATATCTTAACAATTAGATCATGAGCATTACCACGTACCACGTACGTACGTGAAATTGTGGATATTGTGCAGACATGCATATTTTTATTTTCAACCTAAGATTAATATGAAATTAAGCAACCTAAAATTGATTTTAATTATGAGCAAGTAAAATCATAATTAGGTCACAATAAAATGTCAATTAAAGGACATTATGCCGACCATATTCTATCAAGGGCTCAAATAGTTTTTAGCAAAATTATAGTAATTATATATATCACTTGATTTGACAGCACACAAAGGGAAATTGATCAAAATATAAAAAATTTATTAGGTTCTTTTTATTTTTTATTATTACTAATAATACTAATAAATTACATCTCCTAGGCTCTAGGGTTTGAAATTCCTTGACTGATCTTTTTGATAAATTATAAAAATAATAAAAGGTCCCATGTTCTTCTATATTTAACTTTTACTTAAAGAATTCAAAAATAATTTGTGCTAGCTCTATAGTAGTTAAATTTTATTATTATTTGTTGTCTTTTTAACGGAGAGAAATTATTCAACAAATTATAGGATAAATAATATTGCACAAGTTGTTCATACTATAATTACAATTATGAATATACTAACATCTCTTTTATTTAGTGCAGCATAGAGTAAAAAATTAATGAAACCTAATAAGAGTGATATTAGGTGATTACTATTTTGTAAATTATGAGATTGGCTATTTTATTTGTTTTCTAGATTAATCAGTCCTAAAAA